TGTCTTCCACCTCTTAATGTATTTTTCTTTTACCTCTTTTAAAGTCTTTTTTTGGTTTGGGAAAAAGTACAGGGATTAAGGCACTTGCCTTGTACATAACCTACATCCAATCTCTGGCACTGCATCTTGTTCAATGAACATCATTATTAATGATTCACTATTAGTAATGGTGCGGGTTCAGTAGCAAGCCCTAATCATTGCCAGTGTGCCAGTGTGACCCAAAAGCAATGAGGGGGGGAGGAGATAGATGATTTATGAATATATATACTCTCATGGTCATGGTCCTCCTGTTGTTCATCAACTTGCTCTAGCGGGCCCACATATATATAATATATATATTATATGTATATATGTATATATATTTTTTTGAGTATGAGATTTCTGGTAGGTGTTAGTGTTCAGGTATAAGTATCCAGAGCAATGTTCCAAAGACCATATCTGTGATGCTGCTGATCTTACTGAATTGGCACCATCCAGGGAATAGGCCAAAACATCTGTACAATTTTTCAGTTCTGAAGACTTAAATCAATTCAATCACAGTTTAAATTAACTGCATTTGATGAGAAATTCATTTATTATTAAGATACTAGTTAAATAGAACATCTTCCATGATTATCCATAAGTTAACATATTTTTCATTTATTTTGACAACTTTATTCTCTCAGTTCAGCAAATGATACACTATATTATACAAAAATTCTTTTTAAAAATATAATTAAAGATAACCATGAATGATAACTAATGATAATGGTAACTAATGATCTTTCCCTTATAAAAACTTTCCACTTGTTCAGAAAAGAACTGACTTGTTCCCACTTGTTCCCACTTGTTCAGAAAGAACTGATCCAGATTCTGAGATTTTCATAGCTAATTTTCAATAAGTTAAGATATATGGAATCGGGGCTGGGGCGATAGCACAGCGGGTAGGGCGTTTGCCTTGCACGTGACCAACCCTGATTCGATTCCCAGCATTCCATATGGTACCCTGAGCACTGCCAGAAGTAATTCATGAGTGCAGAGCCAGGAGTAACCCCTGTGCATTGCCGGGTGTGACCCAAAAATAAAAAAAAAAAAGATATATAGATATATGGATATATATATATATATATCAGTAGTGGGCAACTACTACTTATCATATTGTATCAGATCAGACAGTAGGCAACAAATCATAGAGTAATATATATATATATAATATATATATAATATGGGCTGGAGCGATAGCACAGTGGGTAGGGCGTCTGCCTTGCACGCAGCCAACATGGCGACCCGAGTTCGATTCCTCTGCCCCTCTCGGAGAGCCCGGCAAGCTACCGAGAGTAGTCGATATGCCAGACACAGTAACAACAAAGTCTCCAATGGAGACGTTACTGGGCCCGCTCGAGCAAATCGACGATCAACGGGAGGGCCTTTACCTTTTTACCTTTATATATATATAATATATATATATATATAATATATAGCACAGCGGTAGGGTGTTTGCCTTGCACGCAGCCAACTTGGCCGACCCGAGTTCAATTCCTCCACCCCTCTTGGAGAGCCCAGAAAGCTACCGAGAGTATCTCGCCCGCACGGCAGAGTCTGGCAAGCTCCCCGTGACGTATTTGATATGCCAAACACAGTAACAACAAAGTCTCCAATGGAGATGTTACTGGGCCCGCTCGAGCAAATCGATGAACAATGGGAGGGTCTTTACCTTTACCTATATAATATATATATATATATATATATATATATATATATATATATATGCCTGGCAAGCTACCGAGAGTATCCCACCTGCACAGCAGAGCGTGGCAAGCTCCCTGTGGTGTATTTGATATGCCAAAACCAGTAACAATAACAGGTCTCATTCCCCTGACCCTGAAAGAGCCTCCAATATGACAGAATTGGGAAAGACGCGTAAGGAGAGGATGCTAAAATCTCAGGACTGGGATGAATGGTGCCCACTCAAGTAAATCAATGAATAACGGGATGACAGTGATACAGTGATATGGAATCATACACAAATATGGCTAGTGTGTCAATGATATATATTTACTTAACTCATAAAGAATGATCTGGTAGAATTTAAAGATGGATACAAAAGAGGGTAGAAAACACTGCTGTGTATCATGACTTAAAAAAAAATACTAAAACAAAATTGAATTTGATTTAAAATTTAACTTGAGTTAGATATAATTTTGCCCTATAAGGCAATAAATAAAAGAATCTTGAATTATCTTTCTACTAGCCAAAATTTGCTAATTGAATTTGATTTAAAATTTAACTTGAGTTAGATATAATTTTGCCCTATAAGGCAATAAATAAAAGAATCTTGAATTATCTTTCTACTAGCCAAAATTTGCTAATTACACTTATTTTTTATAATAAAGCATCTAATTTAAAACAATTGATGCCTAATCAATAGTATAGAATTATATAAAAGTCCATTTTTCTACAGACCACTTAATTATTGGGATTCTATTAGATAATTATGCACTATAACACTGAAATGACTCACAAACATCCATTTGCCTTATTTTGAGATGAAATAAATTATCTGATACTACTCTTTCTGTTAACAAAAGTACTTTTTCTTGTAATATTGTATCAATACTTAGAAAAAATATTTTATTTTGTTCTCAGTGTATTATCAATAAACATAGGCTGATTATGAATTTATTGTGAAGGTGTTCAAGTCTTACCACTGTTCCTATGCTCAGGGATCACTTTTGGTGGGACTCAGGGCCCACACCTATTGACAGACATCACACTGAAGTCAGCTGCAGGCAAAGCAAGTGTTCTATGTATTGTACTATTGCACCACTCCTGATTATAAATTTCTGCTCATTTTATTGGGAAAAGTATCTTATGAATCTCAATTTGTATGAAAGAAATAGAGTATTTGAAGGTATACGATACATAGCTAAATTCATATCTACAAAGGGATATGCCAGCCTTCACTACTTATAAGCAGTCCATTCTGACAAACACATTGATAGGGCTAGACATTATGACATTAAAATAAACTATTTTGGTGGGTATAAAATTTTCAGTTTTTGGGACAAAGAGTTTATACTGTGGGTAAGGCATTGTCTTACATTTTACTCATTGGTAAAGGTAAAGGTAAAGGCCCTCCCGTTGATCGTCGATTTGCTCGAGCGGGCCCAGTAACGTCTCCATTGGAGACTTTGTTGTTACTGTGTCTGGCATATCGAATACTCTCGGTAGCTTGCCGGGCTCTCCGAGAGGGGCGGAGGAATCGAACTCGGGTCGGCCATGTTGGCCGCTTGTAAGGCGAACGCCCTACCCACTGTGCTATCGCTCCAGCCCTCATTTTACTCATTAGGTTTGATTTACTCATTTGGTTTGATCTGCCAGGTGTGATCCCTGAATTCAGTCAAGATAGGCCCTGAGCTCTGCTGCATGTGGCTCAAATTCCAAAAACAAATAAATAATTCATACATAAATAAAGTGTTCAATTTATTTACACAATATCTAGTTATAGCACAGCGGTAGGGCGTTCGCCTTACAAGCGGCTAACATGGCCGACCCGAGTTCGATTCCTCCGCCCCTCTCGGAGAGCCTGGCAAGCTACCCAGAGTATCCCATATGCCAAACACAGTAACAACAAAGTCTCCAATGGAGACGTTACTGGGCCCGCTCGAGCAAATATCTAGTTATAAGTGAAGTTGACATATAATAGTTTTATATTTTTAAAAATCATTTGTTTTTCTAATATAAGAACATCCATTTATTTTACTCCTTTGAGCTTTTAATATCCTAGGGACATTAACCCTTTGTCTTGTACATCAAAGAGTTTGTAATGAATAGTATTAATATTTTATGTGAGGAATAACAACATCCTAAATGAGACTCACTTATGTTAACTTGAAACTCAGCATAAGATTATGCTAATAAAGATGTAATGTTGTTTCCTCTTTCTCTATTAAAACATTTTATTGAAAAATGTTTTATATAAAAACTACATGTACAAGTAATGCCAATAAGGGTGGAGAACCGAAACTTCAGGAGACCTAGGGGCATTTGTTAATGTAAAATTTTGTGTCTGAATTGACTGCAGTAACTGCATTAGTAAGTAAGCAGCATTGCTTTAGGGGATTATATTTTGAAAAATTTAGAATGATTGGGCAATGTTCCATAACAGCTTTTATTTTTTTTTCTGTGTGAGTGATGTGCTTTCAAAATAAAATCAAGAACTGAAACTGAAGTATAGCCAAGATGATATCATTTATGTGCTCTGTAAAGTGTGTATATCAGTACATTATAGAGAGATATATACATAGATAGCTATCTAAATATAAACATAAAACAAAATATGTCTTCACTATGTAAAGGGGTACTTAAATGTTTTCTCTGGTGCCTTTCAATGATCTATCTATCCATTTTAAAAGGATATATCTTTTTAAAATCACCTATTTTCTAGAAAGAAAAGAGAAAACTAAGCACCGGCTGATGTAATGTTTTCTAGTTTATGGATGTAGGAGATATACCTACACATGAAGACATCCATGCATACGAAATATATATATATATATATATTTTTTTTCAGTCTTGTAGGATGCAATATAGATTAGTGTGTATGGAAATGACAGAAACTTTCCGGATCACTTATTTCCTGGCTGTGGTTGGTGAAAGTGTGAGTGGCTCACATTCCCTGCCAAGGCCTGGAGATTGACCAGCCTGAAGCGTGATTCAGGGTGTTGCATGGCCCTGCGGTTTTTGCCTCCTTCACTCTTTTTTGCTGAGGCCGAGGAAGCTGTGGCGGGGTAAGGGGAGGAGGGTGAAATCCTAGAAATGGCAACGTGGGGGTGGGGGAAATTCTGTCAGTCCCCGCTCCAGAACAACGCTTTCCTGCGGGTCTCTGGAGCAAGCTTCTCATTGCACAAAATCCTCCTGGCATCTCCCAGCTCACTTTACCTTCGGGAGTGGGGAGCGAACTTGCGCTCTGCTCCAAAATCCCTGAGCCCTATAGGCCCGGGGAAGGCACCCTGGCCACGGTGGGTGCCAAACGCCGCGGAGAGAGACACAATCCCCATGCCCAGGTGATCAGCCCCCTGAACCTTCAACTTCTGGAAGCGTTTCTGGAACTGCACTCCTAGAAAGTGTGCAGAAGAGAGATTTGGGTGCGAGGTTCCTAATCTTAGGGCCAGCAGCTCTGGGGCTCAGCTGCCCAAGCGCAGGTTAACTCCTTCAGAGTGGAGTCTGAGGCTTCCCTCCTCCCGGAGGTATTTTCCAGCGCCGACTCCCCCCGGGCAGGGGATTTTTGCAAGAGTAGAGTCTGTTGGCAGAGTTTGGCCCTCACTCCCGCTGCGACCTCGGCGATCAGATTACTTTCGGCCTGGCTGGGAGGTGGGGGTATTTACTCTTCATCCCTTTATGTGTATTCAGTTCACCTAGTGTGTGGTTGGGTGTGGAAAGTGGCGGGGTGTGGGAGGGAGGGGGGTTGGGGGTTTCCAATAGGAGTGAAATTCCCATTCCAAGGGTATTACCCTGCCCGTGGGGTTGGCAGCTCTTAAAGTTTAGCAAGTTCTGCAAATAACTACAGAACACAATAGAGTCCCCCTCCCTTCCCCCCCCCCCCCTCTCTCTCTCTCTCTCTCTCTCTCTCTCTCTCTCTCTCTCTCTCTCTCTCTTCCAAACGCCTTCTTGGAGGCTGGAACTGGGCAGGTCTCCAAAGGTGCAGCAGCCACAACAATCCTGCAGTTCAAAGTTAAAGCAGCAGTTGCACAACTTCCAGTAACTCTCCTAGCCGGCTGCTCAAGAGCTGAACGCCAGGCACATCAGAGGAGGTGAAGAGGAAGTTTCCAGATCTTCTCAATCTTACCCCAGCGATCCCGAAATCCCCACCCCCATCCCCACCCCAGATAGATAGCTTGGAGATCCTGCCCCAGCCCTTTGCCACAGCCCGGAGGACCATGGCTCCCTTTGGAAGAAACTTGTTGAAGACTCGACAAAAAAGCAGGTAAAGTCAAGCGCATACTCGGGCGACTCTGTGAAAGAATGTGTCTCCTGGCAGTTGGATTCAGATGCAAATTGCTCTCGGGGCACAAAGTCCCGGGGAGTTGGGTCTTTGATGACTGTTTGTTGATGAAGCTATTGTTCCAATAATGTTGATTGTTGTGGTCAATTGAGGGACCTCGGACGCTAAGGAAACCCCATCCTCACCCCACAGTGGCAAGTCCTCTTTCTGAAACTAATATCACTATGATCTCTCTTTATATTTTTCTGTCTGTTTCAGGGTAGGGGGATGGCACTTTGCACTTCATGATAAACAGAATCAAAGTATATTACAGAAAGAGCTGGAGACTGATGAAGGCAAAAGTGAATTTATTAGCTACTGATTCCACGAAAAACACAACTTCCAATACAATCCGAAAAACAAGGCTTTGACCCCATTAACAGCGGGCATTCCTGAAACCTGGAAAGTTTCCATAGGGAAAATATTGCCTTAGAGCCTTTTGTGAACTAATCCTTTTGAATATCTTTGATAACTTTTAAATGGTTTCAGGCACCAAAGGAGTATTGATAGAGTCTTCTTCCTTCAAATGTTTGTTGTCTTGATTTACTTTGATTTGTGCTACTATTTTAGTCTCTAATGCTATAATGTAAATAAATGTATTTTTCCTTCTCTCACTCTGTTCCCGTTTACTTTACACACACACACACACACACACACACACACACACGCACACACTCAATTTTTTGAGCCAACCTGTATATTTCATAACTATTAAATATTTCATTAACATCTCCAATGCTACATCGTTAAATTCTGTGCCCAAAACGAATACTTAAAACATGTACGTATTCTAAAACACGGACTTTCCTCTTTATTGTATTAATTTTGAAAAAAGGGTCTTTTCTGCAAAAGCCTTTCTCTTAATTATTCCTGTTTGGACTTGTCATAATTTACTTAGTACAACTTTAAAAGCATACAATTATATGGTAGGAAATGATACAATTATTTAAAATCATCTTCACAACACTATAGTGATTCAATTTTAGGTATAAAATTCAACTGAATTTTCTGAGTCAATGTCTACTTGAAAATTCTACTTTAGTCTCTCTAAATGCATTCATAATTTGGTTTGCAGTTACTTTCAAGACTTAAAACAGTAGTAGCAAATACTGTAAGACATTCCAAGCCATGGGGGATGGGTAGTGAACTAACTTGATAATCATACCACACATCTGAAATCTCTGGGTACCTATAGTAAAACAGCCTCATTTTCTTTACAAATAATCGTTAATGATGAAGATTTAAAATAGTTCATATTTGAGTGATGTCAATGTATGGGGTAAAAGATGTCCCGCAGGTCAAATTCTTAGTACTATTTAAATGAATATTCAATTAACTTATTTTTTAAAGTACATGTACTGAAATGTCCCCCCTTCCAAATACATTAGTGCATCTGATGATTCTGAACGTTAGCACTTACAGTTCAAGGTGGTGATGTTTGTAGTGCTGTTGTTGGTCTCCTCCATCTTGGTAGCATTGGGCATGTACTTGGGTTGGTGTGTTCAGTTCCAAAATTCTGTCATCTGTATAGCAAAGAGTGTAGTTAAACTGTCTGTGCACTCCTGGGAACTTTCCTCACAAGAGAGCACTTGGTTAACTTTTATTACATGGATTTTGCTGCTTTCACAACTCTTCTGCCTAGGTAAGTGATTTTCATTCAAGAAAGTGAGGATACAGACATTTTTTTCAGTAGGATTAAAGAAAAAATTGGCAAAGTGGTAACCATAAGAATATTTGAGAGTTGTTATACTAACTCAAAATTCCCTTTTAGACTGGTATTTTTCCCATCTCAAGTAAAATGTAAGCCACTGTAAGTGACTAAGTACTTAAAAATGGGTTTATTCTAACTAGAAGTAAACACACACACACACACACACACACACACACACGGTGTATTGAAATATAATTAAACTACATTTCAATTTTTTAGCATTTGATTTATTTTAAATCAGGTATTTTTGTTCTAATTTAAGTCATTTTACATGTCAAAGGTGAAACTGCAGGTGGTATTTGCAGGATTAAGTTTATCTTTTGCTTGCAGGGTTGGTTCCTAATGTGATTGATGATAAAACAGTTATCTGATGAGTCAACACATTCCTCAAATATATAGCATAAACTTATTTATAGAATGGAAAAGAGGAATTTAAGTAATGTACGTGTATACCTTGTGCCATATAATTTATATAACAGTGATTTCAGATAATTATATTTTTATTAGCAAAAAAGTATGGGTTGTTAGAAAAAATATTGTAAATTTGATATCATAAAAGTTTGAGAATCCTTTTTTTTGCAGAACTTTCCTACATATTATTTTCTATATTTAGAGTATCACTCACTATTATTTATTTTACCCACTCAAAATTGAACTTCGTGAGCTAGTTCTGAAAATACTTTCATAATACAAGGGCATTTGAGAGCTTTCAGTTAAATGGGACACAAATGAAATTTCAACTTATGATATTTTAGAAAAGCACAACTGTAAAGGAGTGAGGACAGTGCTTTATCTCATAGATACTTTGTGTCCTTAGGTCTATGACAGTGTCTGGCATTTGATGGAATTAGAATACAATTGTTTATATAATTATGTAAACTAAAATTATAGTTTGTACTCAAACTAAGAATATAGTAATTATTTTATTCTCTATTAATTATTTTGTGCCATTTTTGCAGCACTGGTTTCCATTTGTGAATGTGATTATATTTTTAATACATTCAATTTTCAATTCAATGTTATTTTAAAAGCTAGTTATTTTAAAAGTATATGGCAGTATATACTTGTTAAAAGTTCTGGACTGATAATTACAAATATTGGGGCATTTACTCATGAATTATGATTTCTTGGTGTTTTAATAAAATTTTAAATCAAAGGATTGATTGAACGTTTTACTAAACCTTACTAGAAGCAGACTATGCAATAATCAGACAGAATGCTGTATATGTATCAAAAAATGTACAATTAGAATTGTTCATTTTGGTGTGTTGCAAGAAATTTGAAAATTAACAATGAATATGAAAGGAGCAAATCTCGAGCGGGCTCAGTAACGTCTCCATTGGAGACTTTGTTGTTACTGTGTTTGGCATATATACATGTATATATATATATATATCACTTAATCACTTAATCACTTAACTTCCCGTTAGTCGTCGATTTGCTCGAGCGGGCGCCAGTAACGTCTCCATTTGTCCCTGTCGCGTGCTAGTGTAGCCCAATGGCATCTGTTCGCTCCGGGAACATGAAGGGCCTCAAACCGATCGTTCATGATCTTGACGAAGAAGTCTGACCATCTGGTAGGTGGGCGGCCACGCGGTCTTTTGACATCCCGTGGAATCCAGTTGGTATGCCAAAACCAGTAACTATATATATATATACACATACATATAATTGTTGAAAACAGATATTGTTATAATATAAAATTTAATGGAAATACTTTGACAATATATTTATAATTCAAATATTAGCACTGTAGCACTTTCCTGTAGCTCTGTCCTGTAGCACTGTCCTCCCGTTGTTGATCGATTTGCTCGAGCGGGCACCAATAATGTCTCCATTCTGAGACTTGTTGTTACTGTTTTTGCCATATCGAATATGCCTCGGGGAGCTTGCCAGTCTCTGCCATGCAGGCGGGATAGTCTCAGTAGCTTGCCTGGCTCTCTGAGAGAGGTGGAGTAATTGAACCCGGGTTGGCTGCGTGTAAGGCAAACGCCCTACCTGCAGTTCTATCACTGAAGGTACATCTTCAAATATTCAAATATTCAATATTCAAATATTCAAATATTATATGTAGCAATACAGATCTCTTTTTTAATCAATACATAAAAATTTAGGTAGGATTTATTTTTTATTAACTAGAACATATGTAGTAAATTTATATTTTTAATCTATGACTACTCACTTTTAATTTCCATATATTTTTTAGGATTTGGGGATCTTACTGAGGGATGTTCAGGGGACCATATATTTTTTTTTCAGGGGACCATATTTATGGTGTTGTTCATCAAAACAGGTTGGCCTCATGTAAGCATGCACCCTAATACCTGAAATATCTCCCTGGATCCTGGCCAATTTATTAAAGCAAAGTGCTTTATGTTATTCATTTATGTGCCAAGGATGGGTCTTCAGTAGAAAAAATTAAGTATGGATATTAGGGTAAAAGTTGCTAGTTAAATGAATATGTATTCCTTATAGATGTGTGTATGATAATTTATGAATTCTATCAATTGAATATTTGTCTCCTACTCTGGTCAAAATTTCAATAAATATTCAAATTCTCTTGAGAAATGTAAGAGATTTGGGTGCGTATATCTTCTTAGTTACAAGGAATTCCTTAAAGAGATTTTCTCTGATGATACTTGGTAATTTAAGTATTTATAAGTTGGTAGCAGATAGCTCATGAAGAATAAGGACCGGAATGATTTAGCTCTGGCTAAATCGTATGCAATAATCTATGACAATGGTGAAATTGACCTCTATGTAAAATCTTGAATAATTGCTCAAACAAATGCTGAAAGTAGGTAAATCATATACATTATAACCTTTCAGTACCTGTACTGAAAAATAATATGCTGAGAGAGAGAGAGAGAGGGAGGGATGGAGAGAGAGAGAGAGAGAGGGAGGGAGGGAGAGAGAGAGAGAGAGAGAGAGAGAGAGCCTGCTGTAGAGGCAGAGGCAGACTGGAGGTGGGAGGGTTAAGGAGGAAAACTGGGGACATTAGTGGTGAGAAATGTACACTGCTCAAAAGATAGATATTGTATGACTGAACCCCAGGCATGAAAAATTTATAGCTGTGTATCTCATGATGATCTAATTTAAAAAAAAAAGAAAATGAAATACACATATGTTCTGAACTGATAAGTGGAATGTGTTAGCTCTACCAGGCACTGGTTCAAAGCAATCCTTGACAAAGCATCTTATCTCTAAAACATTTGTTTCCTAAAGTTAGCCA